TTCCAAGAGCCTGAACAGGTGGGTCGATGCTTCTCTAAGGATCCCAAATGACATCGAAGCACTGTGTGTTCCGGGTGACTGTTACCATCTGTGATGTGGAGAGTGGTACAGTGGCAGCTGGGGAGGCTGGGGGACGGGAGCATTGTGTCGTGCGCTGGTTGCAAAGAGCTGTTGATGGATGTGGAATAGAATTCGGAGTTTGCCATTTTTCCTTGTGTCCTCTGCATCTCTGAGAGTGGCTTAGGAGTCTTTCCCAAGAACAAAGGGATAGAAGCCCCATCCTTCTCTAGGCTCATCCCAGAACATCGAGGCTGCATCTCAGCAGCTCTGATTGGTTACTCTGTCTATCTCTGAGCCAATGGCTGGACCAGGAGGACCCAGTGCTGGCTGACCATCTGGACTCGCTCATGATTGTTGCAGGCTGCAGATGTGACCAGTGTGCCCTGAGCATCTTAATGCTGTGTCCTTTCTCTGCAATGCCTTTTGGTACCTAGTCTGTTTGGCAGACGGATTAATACTGATTTTCAGATTGGTGAGATGTCTCAGCAGGTAAAGATGCTTGTCCCCAAGCCTGACAACCTGAGTTCTGTCTTAGTAACTCAAATGGTGGAAAGCGAGAACTAACTCCTGCAAGTTGTCCTCTGACCTCCACACATATGCACACATTTCATACACATACACACATACATACATACATACATACATACATACACAAATGATAAATAAATGTAATACAAAATTTAAAATACCAATTGTCAACTTGATGGGATCTAGAGTTACCTAGAAGTCAAGCCTCTGGGCTTGTCCATGAAGGAGCTTCTAGACCGGGTTCATTACTGTGAGAAAACCCACTCTGGATGTGTGCATCACCATCCCATGGTACTGAGCACCAACATTCATCTCTCTACTTCCTGATTGTGCATGCAATGTGACCAGTTGTCACCCTGTCATCAAAGTTTTTCCACCATGACAGACTGTCCTTTCATGTTGTGATCTAAAATAAGTGCCCTGCCCCTCTTAATTTGCCAATTGTCCTTGGCCACTGTCACTAACACAACATCCTTTCTGTCTTAGTTTAAGCCCCTCCTCTGAGGACTGCTTTGTAACTTCATTAACTGTTTCTTGTTTGTTATTACAGATAGTCAGACTGAAGGATGCTCTGCCTAAGGATTCTTTGACTATATAATAGTGGGGAAGTGATTACACACACAATAGAAATATTACTTTGAATGTTAATTTCGATTTTTTTTTTCTGGGCTGGCAGTCTGTGACATGGTACTCTATTGATGCCATGTAGTTTCCTGTTCAGCTGTCACAGAGTATATAACTCATTTTTCCACAGGGCTCTGTTTAGTTGGCACATTTACTTTATAAGGTAGCCAATGTGTTCTGTGAAATATTGAACATGCTTTTATAAGATAGATAGCATTTGGGTTCCAAGGTTCTGCCCAACTGTGGATTGATGTGAATGCTCAGGTAGGCAGGAGCAGGGCATGTTGTTTAGATCAAGGATATTAAATATATTTTAACTCACGATGTTCTTGACTTAACGATGGTGAGACAGATAAAATGAAGCCACTTCCCCAAGGATTCTTAGCTAAGAGTAGTGTGTTGTTGAAGATTGTTAATCTGGTTAAGTCAATTGCCCTCACGCTAAGAACCCTTTTCATGCTTATATTTCCTTTAAGGAAGCCAAGACGTTGGAGGCTGTGCTAATTAGGCTCTTTGATTGACAGCTTCCAGGCCCCTTCTTGGTGTCCTGAATGGCTTGCTTTAGGAAAGGACTATCAGCTGAGAGGCCAGCCTTCAGGACAGCCAGGCTGCTTTGGACAGACGTTCTTGAGGAAGCTACATAGCAACCACAGCTGCTTGCTGCCAATGCACAAACCCGGCTCCAGGGGGCGCTGCCCCGGGCGCAACTGTGTAGTCAGCTTGAGCAAGAGCTTCCTGCTGTCACAAGCTTCTGTTAACCTCGGTAGCATTCCCAACCAGGCCAGAGGAGTACCAGAGGGCGCACTCTCTGTGATTAAGTAAGAAGGTTGGACTCCTTCATCTAGTCATTCGGAAGCCCCATTCCTGGGCTGTCCCCTGGTGTTGCAACATTAGGCTCAGTCAAAGGCTTTTCGTAAGTGGTGTTTTCTTGCCTGTTTTCAGTCTTTAGTAGGGCAAAAGGAGCTGGTCACACAAAGTGGAGATGGTGTATTAGAGAGGTAGTACGAGGGAAAAGGTGGTGATAACAGTGGCTGTAGCAGCAGCAGCAGCAGCAGCAGCAGCAGCAGCAGCAGCAGCAGCAACAACAACAACAAGAGAATGATTTCAGAGTTCCAGAGAACATCTGGGGTAGAAACGGTAGGAAGCAGAGGTGGTAGAGGCAACAAGGAATGGCCCAAGTAGAGAGAAGAGGAGAGGGGAGACAGCTAAGGCTGAAGGAAGGTAGGAAGGCTGTGGAGAGTCATAGAGGAGAAACAGTAGGTTCTGGTGGCCATGCAGATCCCAGAGAATTGGCAAGCCTCATAGGCCAGGGGTTTTGGACACACCGGATTCAAGAGCTCTCTCTGCAGGAGCTGAGCCTCCCAGCTATTCAGGAATTATAACGTGAGCAGGCAGTGCCTTTTGCTGCTACTGCTGTTGCTGCTGTTGCTGCTGCAAGCTAATGGTTCCACCAGCTGCCAACCGCTGGTGGTTAAAGTCTACAGTAAGAAGCCTCCAAACCGAGTCCTGATAGTTTGAGTCTCTGGCTTTTCCAGCCTAGAGAAACAGGTCTATCGCTCTTGGGGCTTGGAGATGTGAGTGTCTGGGTCTGCCCTGGGCACTCAAGAGCCCAGGACAGCCAGCCCCCAATCCTCCCTGAGCCACTCATGATTTCTGTCTGAGAACTATCCCAGCTGGCTGTTTGGAAGCAAGGGGTGGTCAGGAGGTAACTCCATCACCATTGGAGGGACAGCTGTGTGTCATTCACTCATTCACCTTACAAGTATTTGTGGATTATTCAGGTTGTGTCAGGTATCACTAGTGCTGGGACTATAACAATGAATGGAATAAAGCAGAACATTCTCCCTCATGGAGCGGATATTCTGATAAGGAAAGTCAATGAACATAGTTTTGTGTGTGTGTGTGTGCGCGCGTGCGTGTGTGTGCGTGCATGTGTGTGTGTGTGTGTGTATAACATTATATATAATGAAATATGTATGAATAACTAAACATGATATGTATCATATAGGTACACATTTCATTATGTACTGATACATGAATACAAATGTAAGTGGAGGGGTGGGGCAGGGGGAAGGCAGTGCTGGGTATCCATGACAACTTCACAAATGCTGGAAAGCAAAGGACTCTGTAGGAAGCTAAGTGGGGGCACAGGGCACACAGTTATCGAGGGGAGAGATAGATGTAGAGGTGGAAAGGGGGTTCTTGGCCTCACAAAACCCACAGAGACTCTGGGTGGCTGGAATGGTGGATGGCAAGGGTGCACGACAAGTCTGAGGCTGGTGTGAGGTGCACAGTCTGGGTACTGCTGAGCTGGAATGTGCTCAGTTGATGGGTGATGCTGTTGGGGTGTCACCGACCATCCTGGCTGCTGCACTGAAGTAGAGGTGGGGGAAGCACATGAGCATGGTTGAGTGTGGGGGTGAGAGGAGAGGGCCGCCCCTTGATCTAGAATCCACAGTATCCTGGCCCAGGATGAGACCCATCCTGGAGAAGAGCTGTTGAATGTGAATGCCTGTTAAGGGGTCCCCAGAAAGGTTTGTAGAAGATTGGATGCGAGAGACAGAAAGAGAGAAATCAAGATGAGCTGAGGCATTGGCCAGAGACACTGAAGGACTGGCTGGCTGTATGTTGTAAAGAAGATTCTGGAAGAAGTAGGTTAGAGTGGCATGTTATGTAAAGTGCCACACTACTGTGCCATTCTCCTGCAGATCTGCCTTCTCTCGGGTCTGGCTAAGTGTGCCTCCTGGCTTGGGTGGTCCTGGCCTCCTGAGAAGGAACTTGAACCAGGCACAGATTCTATTTGCATTTATTGATTGCCTCCTACGTTGCTAGAGATGGTTGTTCATTAGAGGTTCTCTTCAGAGAAGATAGGTTACAGTGACTCCTATCCAGAAGCCCCGGGGCCCTGTGTGATACTCTTTCTGAATTTGGTAAGAAGGAAGCCCCAGGAATGTCTAGAAACTTCCCTCACCATCCTTGTTCACTCCGAGGACATGGTGAGACATCTGTCACCACGGCTCTGACTGTGGACTGGGTCATGGCAGCTACAAAAATCCACTCCCTCCTGCTGTCTGGAACCTTGCTGAGAGATTCCTGGCACAGCCAGACTGGAGTCCTTGGCCTCGGGCTTCTCCCAGCGTGCCTCTGCCTTGAATCATTTTTGCTTGCAATTTAAAAAGAGAAAGAAGAGCTTGGGAGGAAGGATGGAGTCAGGGAACGGAACAGAGGGATGGGCAGAGTGTGTGGCGTCCCTCCCTCCTGTAGAACTGTGTGGGAGGGCCAGGGCATGGGAGGCAACTCCTCTCTCCAGTGGCTGATTTTGTAAATCAAAGTTGGTGGTAATCATAAACTTTATTCCTTTATCGATTTCACACAAGCCTGTAAATGCATCATAGAGCATGGCTGCATGTCCACCAGTCCAGGTCCTGATTCTCCTTCCCATTCTTTTACAGTCCAAGTGGGTGGAAAGAAACCTCTGTTGTCAGTCTGCGGGGCGGCACGTGGGGTGTGTGTCTACGGGGGCGTGTATGGTCACTGCATCCCACTGCTACCTCCCAGGGTCTTGGAAAAGATCAATGTCAGGCAACGAAGACACAGAAGAAAAGCCTCACAGCCCAGACATGAGCTAGAGCAGTGTTTTGCCCTATTTGGCTTTGGGCTGAGAGATACTCCCGATTTAAGTGGCAGGAAAACCAGAATGGGAGGAACCCTGCAGATCCAGCTGGGGATAAACACCCATACCCGTGTTAACTATGGGTTTCCGCAGCGGAGAGGAACTGTCCACTTGCCTTAACCACGTCTTCGTCGGCTGACCTGCACTCCACCGCGTCCGACAGACCTTGCACTGTGCCGTCTTCCTCCACCGAGATCACCTTCACGGGGACAGCCACTGTCTTCCCAGTGAGGATGGCTGTGTTCAGTATCTCAGCCTCCTGGAAGAACGAACACATTGTCTGTTACCCAATCCTCAAATGACAAGACCCTGGCATGTGCCCATGCCTCTTCCTGCTTCCCTGCAAATGGCTCTCAGCCTTTCACCTGAGCACAGGTAGCCAAGTGCTTGGTACCAGCCAGATGCCATGCGGCCATGTCTGTCAACACCTGTATTTTGTAGGGAGGATGCAATGGGGATGGTGACTGAGTAAATCCAGAACTAAGATACTGTGTCTGGCAAACATATATGAATCTTTTTTGTTTGTTTGTTTGTTTTGAGACAGGGTTTCTTTGTGTAGTTTTGGTGCCTGTCCTGGACCTCCCTCTGTAGACTAGGCTGGCCTTGAACTCACAGAGATCCACCTGGCTCTGCCTCCCAGATGCTGGAATTAAAGGCATGCGCCACCACTGGCTGGCACATATATGAATCTTACTCTGTACCCAGCACTCTCTTCAGAGCCTTGTAAGCATTGACCCAGCAACCTTGACATCACCAGAGGAGACAGGCAACACACCTGCTCCTTCGATAGCACAGAGAGGGTTTCTGATTTGCCCAAGGCCACAAGGCTAAGGAAGAAATGAAGGGGAGACTTCAGTTGGGAATTCCAGCTTTTCAATCCTTGCATTGGTGACATAAATCGCTCGAACCTTATATACAACGAATCCAACTTAGAGGAGCTTAGACTGGTGATGAGTGAACTTGCTCCTTCCTCTCTGTCCTCCTTTCACCTCCTTGCAATTGTCCAGGCTTCTCCTGGGCATGAGCCTCTGAATGCTATTACGGCTGAAACCACACCCCCACAGCCCCTCCCATGCTGCATGTGCACGTATAAAGCTAACTCCCTCACTACTGCAAACTCATGAAAAACACACATTTTTTTGCCACCAAACTCTTCTTTGAGGGATCAGGCCAGAGATTTGGCTTTAGCTCACCACGCGGTCTAGTTGCAGGGTGCGGTGTAATTGGGTTGGAACTGGGCTGAAAACCAGACTGGCTGTCCTTCATAGTGTTGGAAGGTGCTGTGCAGGCCACATGGCTTCAGGGGTTGACCTGACAGGGGTAGAGATGGCATGACGGAAAGATACACAGACACAGAGTAAAGCTGGGATCATGTGGACTGGGCTCGATGATGGACAAGCTGCAGCACCCTGTTTATTATATATGCAATATACATGTTTATATAATGGTGAACAGGGAGGTGGGGTTGTTACATCTGAGCAAGGAGGCACGTTTAGCTAATCTCGGTAGGATAAATCTCTGTAGGGGAGCAGTCTTAAGGACATAAATATTGGGGGGAAGCTATGGCGGACCTTTCTGCACACACTATCAACATCTGAACACGGACCAGAAGGATTTACAATTCCCTTGAGCCTCATCCTTGGAAAGCTGTGTCATTTTTTCCTTGAGTCCAAGGCTCTGAGGTCCTTGACATGGCCCTTTGTAAATCAACAACACACATTGACTCAGGACTTCACTCACTCCCTACACAGGACACGCCATTCTCCCATTCTGCACATCCATAGCCTCCGCACCCTAGCTCCTGGCATGTCTGTGTCGCTGCAGCTGATCCTTCTCTGACAGTGTCCCCATGGGTCCTTTCAGCAACAAGCCCCATTGCTGGCTTTCTTTAAAGTCAGAGCTGGCCTGGCCCTTCTTGAGAGAATAACAGAGGATGGTTAGATACGGGCAGGATCAGCCGGGTGTCACGTGACTCAGCCGCCATTATACTTTGACTTGCAGCCACTGAATCAGGGTGACCCTGCTTTAAACTCAAGCTCTGGAGAGCTGAGGCACCTTCCATGGGGACAAATCTTGTAACTAGTCTTGTGAATTTGATTTTCATGCCGAATCTGAACTGCCTGTGAGTAGCTTACCAGAAGACAGAGTAGCAGTTGTCCCCAAGTGACATCTCACCTCCCTGATGGCAAAACCTGCTTCTAATGTGCTACACGTCTTCCCTCCCTTGCAAGGCTCACAGCATGTCGGCTCCTTTGGCTGAGATGTGATCTCTGCTGTATGCTATTTTCATCCAAGGCTCCACTTTGGAACGTTCCTGAACTCAATGCACAGGCCTCCCCAAACCCCATTGGACACACTTTAATTTTTCAAATGTACATTTATTTATTTGCATATACATGCATGCGTGCAGGTGTGTGTATGTGAATATGTGTGGAGGGGGCACGTGTGCTATGGCGTGCATGTGAAGGTCAGGGGACGACTTCTGAGAAGCTGTTCTCTCCTTCTACTATGTGGAGCACAGGATTCAAACTCAAATTATCAGACTCAGCCATAAGCCCTGTGTGCAGAGCCATCTTGCCAGATCTACCCTACAGATATCTCTCTTGGGTTCAAGTGCTTTATTTTCAATTGTGAGAAATGATAGCTGTCTGCATTTTGCTGGAGAATGACCAGGCTGCTCTCTACCTTGGTTAGGGAGGCTTCTCTCTGCAGTGGGCGCAGAGATATATAAACTCAGAGTGCTGAGAGTGACAGACTCTGAATGCTTAGCCCTAAATGGGACAGCAATATCAACCCCATAAGGCTCAGGGGATATTGAAAAGAGAGAAAGAAGGAATGTAAGAGCCAGAGGATGGAGAGAAGAGCTGTGAAATCCTGTCCTCTGGACAAGACACGGCTGATGAACACATCGACTCCCAGAAGCTAGGGTAGCTTGCACAAGACCTGTACAAAAATCAAGCCAGTTGACATTCCAGTTTAAATGGGAGAGGGAACCATGAGGTCCCCACTCCTAGCTGAGGAATTATTGGTTCTTGATGACTTCTGGAGGAGAGAGAGTTATTTTTCTTCGGGAGTATGGTCACTGGTAAAGTGCCCCATACTCATGAACATGTAGACAGCCTTCATTGAACACAGAGGGTCATTTTTTTAAAGGCCGGTGGGGACATACCAGAGGAGGAAAGGAACTGGGGTGGGGTGGATATGTTCAAGATAAATTTTATACATGTATGAAATTATCAAAGTGTTTACTGTGGCAAATCCACAAGGTTGAAGAATCAGGTTCCAGAGGACCACTCCCAAGATCACCTGAGTCATTCACTGCTTAGAGAGGACCCTCCTGCTGACCTCGGCAGGCAAGAGGAGGAGTGGCCAGGTTTTTCCTGTCCTGTTGCAGTCTGATTTGGAAATGACTTGTTACCGCCATATAGCCTGGTCTATTCTGAGTGATAGAATACCTAACCTCAGAATTTGCTCTATGCAGTGGTTGATGGCCTGCTGCCCTGGCTTCTTGGGTAGACCCAGCCTAAGTCATTTTGGTGGCCTGGTGTTCTCTGCTCTTGCTAAATGTGGGTGATTTCTTAAAACTTTTCATTTCCCATCAACGATCAATAACCCAGCCAACCGGCAGCCTCGAACCAGACCAATGACTCTTTGCAATGAACACTTGCAAGTAAAGATGTATAGATAAGAGGGTCTACTCACTAAGTCACACTACAGTTTCCATAACTAGATTCATATTTTTCCATTTTTTGTCTTAAATTTTATTTTATCTTTTTGAGGCAGGGGAGGTTGCAAGGGCAGAGGGTGGATACGAAGGGGCGGGGAAATGAATGGGTTGGAGATGCATGATATGAAAGACACAAAGAATAAATAAAAGAGGAGGAAAAATAACCTTACAAGCAGAGCGATCACTCACCACCCTGTCCTTGCCTTTTGTTTGTTTTCTGAAGCTCTCACCATCCTGGACTCGTACACCCCTGCTAAACACTGTCAGGGCGTTGAGTTGGGAGGTTTTCACGGATGCCACATTAAACACGGAGAGTTATTAGATGACCACGGAGATAGTAGATCTAATTAGCAATAAGACTGCGGGGCCATAAATAAGCCCCATGCCTCTTCCCACCAGCGGGAAACATCACTCAGTCTGATGCCTGTGACACATACAGATTTACAAACCGCTCTCTGTTTCATCAAGTGCATGGGTGCCTGGGTTTAGTGGCAGGAGCATAGCGTAGAGAATTCTGCATTTTAGCAGTCACTCTGAAATAAGGCCATTCCTCCACTGCACAGGGAGCAATAGGAGTTTGACCAACAGAGCAGCCTGCTCATCAGCCTCCAACTCAGGCTGGCTTCTCTGTGTCAACAAGACACACCTGGCTATACTCTTTTTTTCCTTCTTCCTAATGTGAATGTAACTGTTTTATCAAAGTCGCACATGTTCACTGTTAAAAATATCACACTTGCTCGATAGTCCATGAAAAGATATTTCACAAGCATCCCGTTTCCTATGCCCACTTCTGCCTCTTCAATCCCAACTTGCCTGCCCAGACTGTGAACATTCTATGGGTTGAAATAATGTGCTGTATAACCTGGTCTCCATGGAGCCACTTTAGATCTAATCTACTGTTCTAGTTTCATTGCTGCTGCTGTAATAAATGCTCTGTGGAAAGAAACCTAGGGCTGGAAGGGTTTATTTGAGCTCATAGTTTCTGGTTTTAGTCCATCATGGAGGCAGGATCTTAAGACGGAGGGTTAATTACATGAGACCCACAGTCAAGGGTAGGGAGAGAATGCACATACGCACGTTTAGTGCTCAGCTCACTTTTTCTACTCATACACAACCCAAGACTCAAACCTAGGGGATAGTACTGCCCATAGTGGGCTGAGTCTTCTCATTCAATTCAATTAAGAAAAGTCAGTCCTTCACAGACGTGCACACAGACCAACCTCATCAAGGTAGTCCCTTATTCAGCCTTTCGAGGTGAGATTCTAGGTTGTGTCAAATTGATATTTGGAATTCATCATCACATAAATACCAACTGATGGTGTGATAGAGGAGATGCTGTTTCTACTGCACTTGGTTCTCTCTTTTTTAGTCACCTTACAGGTTCTTAGCTGGGTCTCTTTACTGGCTACACCTGTTATTTCAAGGAAACTGTTCCAATCAGGTACTGGGGATACCTGAGAACTGAAGCTACAAACTGCAGTTTGGAGATGGTTATGCTCTGGAGATCTGATGTGCAGCGGGGACTGTGGTTG